TATGTCCATGAGTTCTCGCGACGTCCTTGTAAATCAACAAGACACTAAGGATAAAATATAAATTTTAGAATTATGGAATTCTAGATAAAACACTCAAAAATAATTTATTGAGAATTAATTAGATATTAAATTATGTGATTATTTAATTTGTATTTTAGAACACACATGTGATGGAGATCACAAGTGTCACACGCCTATAGCAGATAGATCCCTCTGGGATTCAGTTGCTTGCTCTCTAAGTTATCCGATTGACTTATTTGATAAGTTATCTAATTAGAATTCAAATTAAATTAAGTTTGACTTTAATTGAAATTTAAATTTGAGCAAAATTGGACAATTGGATAAAGGAGAAATTTTATCTCCACCTTATCTACAGTAGGCGCCAACCATAAGGGGCTTATCCCTGTGGTGGACAAATTTTATCTACAACAAGAGAGAAATTTTTTGTTCCAAACTTAAATGAGAATTTTATTTGATTTTAAATAGGATTTAAAATTAAATATTATCTCTTATTTTCTGAAACCTTATCTTAAGATATAAGATAGAGTTTCTCTAGGAGTCCTAGTGCTAGTCTATAAATAATAGGTTGTAGAAAATTGGAGAACACAATTTTTTATTATCCAAGTGTTGGTGGTTGAATTTTCTGTGAGAAAATAAGGGATAAAAGTTCTTCTAAATCCCAGTTTCACGTCGTGCATGTGCTGATGTTCGTGGAAGACTTGAGTGTTTTAAGTGCTAATCCTATTTTATTTCAGGTGTACCTACACACACGTCTTTGTAAAATTTAAGGAATTGACATGAAAGATTCGAGTATTACAAACAAGTTTGGAGCGAGGATTGTTCGTTGTCAAAGATCTCAAGTTATCAACCTAATCGTTCGCTAGGTAAATTTATTCATAAATTAATCAGATTAAGTTATTTGTGCATAAATTAAAGTATTCTATAGACTATCTCAAGAATTTTATAAAATTTTTATTATATACGATCCACTAGATACACGCTTCCGCATATAAAATTATTTTCAAAACCAACACTTAGAACATCTTGGAATGAGAAAAAGAAAGGCGTTCTTACCTCTACACCAATATATTAGTAGTTGTAGGCATTGTCAACATTGTTATGTTTTGTGTGCTCACCAAATTTCTGGCACGTAAAGCAAAATCTTTTTCTTTTTTTTTTCTTATTTTTTTTTTTAAAAAGAGTAATTGTGGCCGTTATCCTTAAATTCTTTAATAGATGATAATTCAGTTCAGTTTTAATTTTGACAAAACAATCCTCAAATTCTAAATTTTTGACCTCTCATGAACATTTAGTGACTACCCCACGAACTCGGGTCACATGACTACCACGTGCGAGTTTTGTGAGGTTTTTGATAGCTTTGGATGGGAATCCATTAATTGTTGTTGTTTAAAGAGTAGGTATCGCTGAAATTAAAAGAATAAAAATCAAAGTGTCGTCTACTAAAAAGTTTATGGACTATTAATGCAGATTATTTTGTGTTATTAAATTCTCCTCGATAAAAGAGGTAAAAAATCTAAAAAGTACTCCATTGCGTTCATTAATACATGCTAGTTATTGTCATATAAGTGTGGTTTTAATGGTTACTCTTATATTTAACTATTATTGAGTATTATTATTTTAACTGTAAGATATTAATTTAACGGTTGTAATAAATTGGTAGTTGACTAAAAAAAATTGTAACAATGAATGAAATTCAATTCTTATCGTAGCGTGATAATAATTTAATTTTATTAATTATAAATTTTTTTATCAACTATCTAATTTATTACAATCGTTAAATTAATATTATACGACTAAAATAATAATACTCATTAATTAATAAATATTAAATTAACCACTAAAACTACAATCATATATATGTGTGTGTATTCTTACAATATAGAAAGCGCAAACGCGCTTTCCCATTTTAAACAAAACAGTGACATTTTGGTCAAAATCTCCACCCAAGCGTTTTCTTTTTTTGCTTCCTTTTATTTTTTTTTCTTTTTTATTTTTTGCTCTAAAACTTGTTTATTTTACGTTTTTTTTTTTTTTTTTTTTTTTGGTCCTTTTTCCCTTTTTTTTTTTCCTTCCTTTTTTTTTTTTTTTTTTTTTTTTTTTTTTTTGGCCTTTTTTCCTTTTTTTTTTTTCCTTCCTTTTTTTTTTTTTTTTTTTTTTTTTTTTTTTTACCATTTTGGTTCCTTTGTAGATTTTATATTAAAATTTTATTAAAATCCAAAATTTTATGTATTTAAATGTGCCTCATTCTTGAAATTTTGTTTTGAGAAAAATTTATTATGACGTGCATTCTTTTTCCCGTCTACACCTTATTTAATTTCTTTAATTCGTTTTTGTTGGGTGATTTTAAAATGTTATTGTTCTCTTACTTAGCTCTTATTAACATAATTTTTTTTTCCATAAGTACTCGTGATTTTTTTTTGCTTTTTTATTTTCATTTTGTCAAAAGATCTTTTACAATGTAATCCTTTTCTAATGTACTTCTTTTAAACATTTTTTTTACCGAGTGTTATTGAAATATATTTTTTTTCATATGTATGTCTATTTAAGCCCTATTTATTTCACCGATTCGAGTTTAGAATTCAAATTTTATTATAATAAAAAACTCAAAATAGTCACATCTAACATGTTTGCTACAATAAAAAACTCTCACATAAAGTCACATCTCAACTGGAATTAAAAACTCGAATCAACAAATTAAACGGGCCTTTAATATTTTATTATATAATCCTTGTTATTTTAATGGCAATACTTGTAAATATTTTTATGTTAGTCATGGATTAGCCAACTGACTAATCTTTATTATAGAATGAATTAAAAACAATAATAACACTCTCCATGTGCAGTATATATTTTTATATTTATATATATGGGTGTGGTTTTAATGGCTATTCTAATATTTACCCATTAATGGGTGTCATTATTTTAACCATAAAATATTAATCCGATGGTTATAATAAATTTGATAGTTTACCAAAAACATATATGACAATTAGTGAAATTAGATTCTTATCACGCCATGCCATCAAATTTCTATATTTAATAGATAACCACCGGTGAAAACGTAATCATTAAAAATTCATCCACATATATATGTCTGCGCAGCTGTGGGACCCTAGCTATATCCTTGTCATCCCCAGGCTCGATAACATTATTCTATTTTACCATACATGTTCTTTACCTTCGTAAGCATTTTAATTTGGGAGAAAGTAGACAAATACCCTTTAAAAGTGCAAAGGAGACAAATACCCTTTAAAAGTGCATGGGTCAGGATTTCTATCCCTTACTCTTGATTAATAACATTTTTAGTCAAATAACTATACTAATAAAAGGGTATTAATCAAGAGAATAAATGGTAAAAATCTCGATCCATACACATTATGCAATTTTCTCCTTTGGGGTTCAATATATTCCTATCGAACGTAAGACTGAGCCCCAAGAAAAACATGATATTGTCCTTAGGCCATTCTCTCTTGGAAATACATTCTTAGGCTTAGTTTGGTAGTGTTGTAGATTTTAAAAAAATTACTTTTAGTTATGCTGAAGGAAGAAACAACTGTTACAAAAAGCAACTGAGTGTTTAGTAAACTATAATTATAATAGCTGTGTTGGTTCCAAAATTAGTGTAATAGCGTTTGGTAAATTATGAGGGTGAATTGCTGTAAATAGTTAAAACTTACGACTATATTATATTATATTATAATATAATATATATATAATTACAATATAATATATATTTATTATTATATTTAATATAATACAAAAATGACTATTATTATATAATATATTATATAATTATGATATAGAATATCATAATATTATTAAAATAATAACTGAAATAATTAAAATAACGATTATATTGTATTATACTATAAATTTAATATAATACAATAAAACTATTATTAAATAACATATTATATAACTATGATATAGAATATAATAATATTATTAAAATGGTTAAAATAATTACAATATAATAAAACATATTATAATATTACATAAGAAATATTAATATTTCAGTTATAATTTAATTAAAAATTACAACTATATTATAATATAATATAATATATTATATTATATTATATAATCACTATTATATTATATTAAACAAATATATTATAATTAATATTTTGTATAACCATAACGTGTGTAATATACTATAATATATAATAATATTAGAATTATAAGATTATATTAATATTTAATTATATTAATTACTATATTATTATTAATATAATAAATCTAATTATATCAATACAATATAATATATAATATATTACAAAATAATAATTACAATATCATATTATAATTACAATATCATATTATTAAAATAATTATAATATTATTATAATATCATGATAAATTTTACAATATTACTATTGTAAAATTATGATATTATTTGTTACAATATTACTATTATATTACGAGTCTGAATTTTAGATTGGGAAGATTGTAAATTTTAAATTTTATTAGGGGTATTATGAAAGTTTCATTAATTGTACTATGCTGATTCCCACACAATCTAAAAGCTAAAATTGTCTTTAGGCTGCTTCTGATTTTGGCTGTAGATTCTTGAAAAATTCTTCAAAAAACACTTTTTGAGAAGATTTACCAAACACTAAAATCAGCGATAAAATAATAATATTAGAGTTATTAATATAATTATGATATTATTTATTACAATATTACTATTATATTATATTATATTACGAGTCTAAATTTTAGATTGAAAATATTGTAAATTTTAAATTTTATTAGGGATATTATGGGTATTATAAAAATTTCATTAATTGTACTATGCTGATTCCCGCACGATCTAAAAGCTAAAGTTGTCTTTAGGCTGCTTCTGATTTTAGAAGTAGATTCTTAAAAAATTCTTCAAAAAACACTTTTGAGGAGATTTACCAAACACTAAAATCAACTTCTGCTACAAGCAGAAGCTGATTTTAAAAGGGAAAAATAAATACCAAACTAAGCCTTAGTATACTTATCATGCTTTTTATAACGGTTTAGTACATGACTTGGTGTTTCATAATTTATTATAAAGCATAACTTACCAAGCTTTTATCATAATCTAGTATGACACATAAGCTGATAACACCATTAGATATTGTGAGTTACAAGAGAAAATAATCCCACAAAAAACCTTCTCAATGTTCAATCGGATGGTTGCTGGCCAACTCAACTTGCTGTGTTCTGATTGTAATGGATGAAGCAGGAAAATGCTTTTTGGAGTACTGGATTTTTCAAGAGTTAGCGTCTGCACCAAAAAGTTGGGATTAAAACACGTGTCTCCAGCATTATTAGTAACAATGTTTCAATTTATTCGACTATTTTCCATAAAACACTGCACATTGATCAGGATTGACAATATCACAAATTCCATCTCTTAGCATGTTATTTTGGTACCTACCGGCACCTAATCCTCGTATATTGAAACTTTTGTGAGATGATCAAACTATCAATAATCTGACTCAGAATATTGGGTTGGTCTCCACCCACCAGCATGGAGTGAAATAACCAACTAACCTGCATACTCAAACCAGAAAGAAAAATTCATTAGCACCGCCAGTTCTACAATTCATTCAATATAAACAAAGTTAGAACAATCTACTTCATGCACCATGTAGTTTTTAGAGAGGGATTATTATTCGTTTGATAAAAGACTACTAGTATTTATAGGTAAGCATGACAACACTCTTGCCATTGAATCCCATAATTCTAGTAATAGATAAATCCTAACTTAAGAGATAAATACTAGCTAATATGGAGATTTAGGATATCTCCTTATCTCCTTATTTAAAAAACAAATAATCCTAACTGGATAACAATAACCGGAAGTTATTCTTATTTAAATTCTCTAATTCGACTCACCAATTACCAAAACTTTTGTCGCAGATAAACAGATTATCTACTGATAAATGTTCTTATCAACACATCTTGTGTTCTCCACAATAAATAGCACTGACAATAAAAAGAGAATTTTCTAAAAGTAATACTAATCGTAGCCAATTCTCTTCGGCAATAAAGGGGTTTACAATAAGATGAGAACTTAGCCCCATGTACGAGGGAGAGAGATAGGATCTTGTTTTCTTCTCCTTCGTTTATTTCTTTTTGTGCATGGTAGACATGATAATGGAATTGGCAAGAAGGTGAATTTTTAAAATATATATAAAAAAGTTATACAAAAAATATAGACTTGACACTTTTCCGTAGTAAACCCATCTAGCTTAGTGAAACTCTCTTTGCATTTCATGTATGAAGATTATTTTTTTTTTTTTGTTTTTTTAAATAATATGTTCGCCATATAACCATGAAAAACATCAATTCTATCATCATAGTAATGTTATCAGGAATTTTCTCCGATAAATGTTCATCACAATAATCTATTTAAAAAGTTCCCCTATGACATGACTTCGTTGTGATAGGGGCCCGGGGAGCCAAAAAAAAAAAAGAGTTACACACAGTTCCGTGTAAAAGCCTTATACAACAAAAGAACAGAAAAGGCTCTAACAAGACTTTTCTCACCTCGTTACAGGTCTATGGGAACTCTTAAACCATCATGCGCAAGCTGCACTTGAATTCCTTCCCTGTGCATACAAAGAAAAACCTTAAGGCATCGATTTCTTGAAATTTGGTTAAATGAAACAAGAGAATTTTGAAGACGTAAAGGCAATGAAAGTGAGCTGTGGGAGAGTGGAGTGTTGCAGTTTGGTTGTATGAAACTGAAGATTTTAGTAATTTTCAAATTTCAAATCTTATTAGGGAGTCACTTTTGTTGATGTAATCTACTTTTTTTTTGTATAGTTTTTCTTTACTAGTTTTCTCCCTTTCTCCTTGTTCTTCTCGGCAAACATACTGTCCTTGTATTGTTTTTCACGATTTTTTTTGGTTTCTTTTTTGTTTTGTTTTGTTTCGTTTTGTTTTGTTTGTTTGTTTGTTTGTTTGTTTTTGTTTTTTGTTTTTTGTTTTTTTTTTTGTATTTCACGTATTGTTTCAATGGAAGTTGTGTTTATCTTTTTAAATTTTTTTAAAATTTTTTACTTTTTATTTTTAGAAAACAGTATAGTATCTTAGCATACATTACTTTTGTGCTCATACAAATAATGCACACAAATTGATATCATAATTCTGTTTAGTTTTTTACATGTTTTACCAGACTTTAGCATGAACAAATGAGTAAATATAAATTAAGATAATCAATTTCAAGATGATACACCAAAAAGCACCAAGAATGGTTTGAAAGTTGAAGTTTTAAAAAAGGATCAGCACTTTGTACCTTTTGGACCATTCAGCAAGAAACTCATTGTCTTTGTGGTGGTCAAATTGATGAGTCATTCCAATTAACAGGGCTTGTTTTGGACGTATCCTCTTCAAAGCTTCAAGAGTCTGCAGAAAAACTAGTCATGTGACATGAACAATATTCGAATATAGCAGGATTAAAGTGTGCGAATATGGCACTAACCTGTGGGAGGCAAAGGTGGACATTATGAGATCCCGTCTGCAGTGAGAAGAAAAGCAAGCAAGAATATAAAAACAACTCCAGGAAATTAACACATAACACATGAAATTAGGAGTCCTAGCGGAAATCACAGTTCTAGCCATTAATACAACTTTGATAAGTAGGTTGGTCGACAATTCACAAAATGACGTTAACTAGATAGGTCACACTTGATTAGCTGTAAATGTATGATGTATCTTGAACAACCCTAATTACGTTGATTTGTGCTGGAAAGCACCGCATATATTTGCTTCTGTATTATGACAATTACATCTGAAGAAAAGGAAGAAAAAAGAGAAAAAAAAGGACAATACCACTATCTGACCTTATAAAGTGTGTCCAATATGAGTAAATCCACTTGTCCAACCCCATCTTTTGAAATTACTGAAACAAAATTCCATTTCGAGAAGCACCAAAAAAAAAAAAAAAAAAAAAAAAAAACAACTCACTGTCAGCATACGGTCATTGACCTTGAAACAAGACTTTTTTCGATAAGAAAACTTCATTGATGAAATAATCAATTACTAAAAAGGGAATAAGGTATCCTCCTTGATGAAAACAAGATACAAGATAAGAAATACAAAAACACCAAAAACTTTAGTGCCTATTACATCTTTCCAATTCAATACCACCAAGGAAAAGGGAAAATCCTTGAAAACTGTCAGATGAAGCCCATAACGAGGCTGTGAAAGTTGCTTTCTCAAAAAGATCAATAACATTCATCTCCTTTTCCTAAAAAATTATAGCATTTCTTTCCAACCACAAAGTCCACAAAACAAAGAGTACCGTACTTTTCCACAGACCTTTAGAGATGCTATTCAAATTCAAACCAACCAAACTTTCCGTCAAGACCAAGCTACAATGAGCTGGTAAAACCCAAGAAAAACCAGCTTCCGAAATTAGTTTCTGCCAAACAAAACTCGCCACCAGACAATGCAACAATAAGTGGTCCATGGGTTCTCCACTAGCTCTGCAAAGGACACACCAAGAAGAGGAGAGTGCCATACGAGGGTTTCTTTTCTGAACTGGTCACAAGTGTTTAGTTTCCCAAGTGCCACCAACCAAGCGAAGACTTTAATTCTATGAGGGGAAACTAGACTTCCAGATGAATTTATACGGTTTAAAGTTCTGATTTTCAGGTCTGTCCACTAAGGAGGAGAAAAAGATCGACAAAAGAAACCATTAGGATCACATAACCACACTCTATGATCAGGAACAGAAGGCTGAAACGAGAAAGAATTGATTAACTGAAGTAGAGAATGCAAATCCTCTACCTCCCTATCATTGAGAACTCTTCGAAAACCAAGGTTCCAATTTGGTCACTGTCATTGGACAAATCTGTGAGAAAAGGCATTGGGAAGATTTGAAATATGAAAAGACGAGGGAACAAAAATTCTAAGGATTCATTCTCACACCATTTATCTCTCCAAAAAAGAATTTTAGTCCCATCCCCAACTCTTAGTTTTGTATTTTTAAGGGAAACATTCAACCCCTGAGAAAAAGTTTCCATGGATTTCTAATGCCCCGTTTGGTGTATGGGTTTGTGCAAAGGGTTACTTACCTGTTCCTTGAACGTAGAGAATCCCCCACCTTTTTTTTATAAGAAACGAGAGAATATTATTAATTAATAATGGAAAGAAAAGTACAATAGGGGACAAGGAATCCACCAAAGCATTGCATAACAAAAGGAACTAGAAGGACATAGCTAATGAAGGACCATATCCCATCCACGAAGTAAATATGAAAAAGAAAGAGACTTAAAGCCTTTAACTTGAGATAACCACAATGCCACATTAAATTTAATTCTATCCCGCACTACATTAACATCCCCATCTAAACCCTCAAAAATATGGTTATTCCTTTCTAACCAATTAGCCCATGTGATGGAAAGTGTTGCTATATTCTAAAGTTTCATCCGTCTACTGTTGAAAGAGTAACCATTGAATAAATCCGCAATTGTTCTAGGAATCACCCAAGATACTCCAAACTCTTAGAAGTCGATACCAAATGCATAGTGAAAAAGGCCAATGTAGGAAGAGATGATCCAAAGTTTCACCATTTGATTTACATAGCACACGCCAACCAGGAGACAAAAATGCATCAGGCTTTCTTCTTTGAATCGAATCATGAGTGTTAAGTTTACTCGAAACAAGCAGCCAATTAAACACCTGAACTTTAATAGGAACCGAGGTTTTCCAAAAAAGATGATAGAATTTGTCGTTTGGATAGAGCCTTCCAGAATTAAGTTATCTTTTATGATGCTTGACGTGGGACCCACCCCTTTATTGAAAGTCGGTACACGTGAGACTCGAAGCACCGCTTCGTCTACTTGGCTTCGCTTCTCAAGAAACTCTTCGATTTCTCTTCCAGATTGATTCTTAATCCTCCACATCTTCTTGCACTTCAAATCGACTTTTTGGCCACCAACATTTTTGCCATGATGTACCATTCTCATCGCCAGAATATTGACGCATCTATCCGCCACCTCAACATCTTCTCTGGCAAAATCTAGTGAACTTCTTCGAATTATCCCTGATGTTCTATAATTTGAAATCACTTCATCCTTCATCTTGATGCTGAAAAGGCCAACGGATACTTTTTCCCCTTGGCAAGGAAATTCCAATATTGGATTCATCAAACCCACTGTTGGACCTCTAACTTTAATCTTGGCGTACAGTAAAAACGATTGGTTTAATGTCTCTTCTGCAACCTCTGATAATCCTCCGCAGGCATCTCTAATAATTTTCAGACTGTGGATATTCCACATATTGAGAGGGAGACCTTGAATCCCAATTAAGCTATTGCGGGCTTCAATTTCAATAGATTCCCAATGTGCCTGAACCGACCATTGCCCGAAACTTGCTAAATATCTTTTATTGACAAGCAGAGTATTGTGTTTCAGTATCGACTTCATCTCCTTAACCTACTTTCTATGCCTCTCTTCTTTATTAAGTCCCAATCATTCTCCATTTAATTCTATATATAACCACCGCCAATCTCCAAGTTTTGCTAAAGGTCTTTGGATATCTTTCCCTTCTTCTGTCTTGTATCCTTCAGCTGATGGAAGATACCCTTCTACTTGGTTCTTTGCTGCAATTCTTCTTGGTTGGACAACCACAGACCCCCGACGCTTGTAAAAAAAAACTATCGATGCATCTCTTAAATTCATACAACCTCTGTATTCGTTCTCTCCTGGCACTATAACTTTCCTTATATCTCCTTTTTGAATCTTCAAAATCCTCATGAAGTTGCCCCTTTCGTTCTGCATTCCACAATCAACCTGTAACTATGACTCTTGTAAAACCTTTTGAACTCATGTCCTTTGCTTTGACTAGGGGCTTCTTCCATTGCTTTGCATAACTAGGCTACTCCTCCCAAATATACTTTAAGCGTAAAGTTTTCTACTCTGTTTCTCTCCGTAATCTCTATCACACTACCAAAAAAATCTAATATGAAAATAAAAACCTTGTGTTTAGTCCTAAAATCTCTGTTGAAATGTTTATATCTCATTGTGATTAATAAGATATAACGATTGAAGAAATAATCATAAAGAGATTTAAGAGAGAAGGTGGAGCTTCCCTCTCTAATATTCATTTAGTGTATCTATAGAACCATATGGGATTCTCCCACCAGACTCTAATCTGAACAGTCATGATATGTCCTAAATGATTTCATCACCAATTTGATCATTGATTTTCTCCTCCGTACCTGAGACATAAGAGTCCTGGTCTTCTGAGTTCAATTTCACTTTCTTACTGAAACTAGAATCGGTTGACATTTAGGTCTTCCTCTCCCATTCCCTTCCAATAATTCCATTCAGCCATCCATACTCTCATATTCTTGGAAAGCCCATCTATAGGGTTCCTTTTTTTGTAATTAAAATATCTTCGTGAGCATAAATTTAGCCTCGTTTGGAATTAAGAATTTCCTTTCCTTGCACAATCGACGTACTGATTAAGTGAGACCTGCCTTTTTCCCTGGTCAAAAGACCAAGACATAAGAGTCTTGGCTTGTTCGTTTGCACCAAAACTCAAAAAAAGTTTAAACTCAAGTTACAATTTTATTCAAGTTAATGTTATTTTATAAAATTTGAGTTTGAACATGAATTTTAACTTGAGTTTGAGATTAAAATCTGAGTTCAAGTTTTCCCTTCAATTTAAGTGCCTAAACTCAAACTCAAGTTAATGAACAGACTTTTTCTATTTTTAAAAACGCTATAACTTTTTCGTTTTAATTCCGATTGAGATGATTCTTTTTTGTATGCGTTCACAACGAAGAGACGAATAAAACCCCACCCGTATACCCTATTAAAATTTTCCATCATTATTGAGTTTTTATTAAAATACTATCTAAATACAAACTCGAGTTTTGACTCATCCAAACACAAACTCAAAAAGATTCTCATCTCAAACCATAACTCAAATGTACACAACAAAACACAAACTCAAATTATAACATCAACTCAAGTTATAATTCAAATTCAATTCAAAATCTACACTCAAGCCATCATAACTCAAAAATGCAATTGAACAAGCCCTTGGTCTTCTGAGTCTTCAATTTCAGTTTCTGACTGAAACTAGAATCGGTTGACATTTAGGTCTTCCTCTCCCATTCCTGAGCAATCTTCCAATAATTCCATTCGGCCATCCATACTTTACTTGTATTCTTGGAAAGCCCATCTATAGGGTTTCCTTTTTATGTAATTAAAATATCTCAGTGAGCATAAATTTTACCTCGTTTGCAATTAAGAAATTCCTTTCCTTGCACAATTGACATACTGATCGCGCGAGACCTGCCTTTTTCCCTAGTTATCTTCATTCCTTATTTGGCTAGGAGAAGCCGAATTTATCTCACCATTTACGAAAAAACCTTTTACTTTAGGTGTAAAACAATGCCACCTCCCCTTGTTAAGGAACCTTAAGCCTCCATGTAAATCTAGCCCAAGACTTGGTGCCGAATGGGCATTTGGGCTTGGATTTTTTGCAATTTCCTTACCTTTCTCCAAAGCCCTTTGAGCATATTTTTTTTTTTTTCTGAGCTTACTGCTAGGTTCCGGTCCCATACCACTTTTTCCTTGGATTGGGCCGCTATTTAACTCATCGGCTAGAGTATTAGGGTAGCTCCTCTCTAATTGACTTTCTACATCCTCATCATACAGTTGTAACAAATTCAATGCTTCAAATCTGTTTTCCATCCTAATTTTGGGGCCCACCAACTCATTGAATTTCGGGGAACGTGACCTATACTTCGATTCCCCTTCCTCCCTTACATTCTCGAGGGTTTCTTTACTCTCCCCGATAATTTCCCCACGTTCTCTGACTTTCCAAATCCTTTTGGGTTGCGTTCCACTATTCATGCCATCTTTCCCGAGTCCACGTTGTACCCTTCTTATTGTAGCGAAACTTCCAAGTTTGATTCTAGTTTCCACCTCATCATCTTCTTCGTTGGTGTCTGCAAATCGTCTAAGAATTATGCCTCCAGTGTTGCAACCTTGAACTTCTACGTAATTCTTGATGTTGAAGAGTCCAAGATGTATTTTATTCCCTTAGCATGGAACTTCTAGGATCAGCTACATGAGACCCTCCTTAGGACCTTTAATTTTTATCTTTTCCACATTGTAGAAACATCTAATTCAAAGTTTCTAGAGCGATTTCCAGAAGGCCTCCTCGCGCTTCTCTGATAATCTTGAGACGTGGACGTTCTAGAGATTAAGAGGAAGACCATCTATACCTATCTAATTGTTTCTAGCTTCAATCTGAATGTGGTCCCAATGCGAGTACATCGACCAAGGTTCCATCTTTTCTAAATATCTCTTATTTTGAAACGAGACTTTTCTTCCAATAGCCTTTTCATCTCCTCTGCATCTTGACACCATGTAACTGCTCTATCTGCCACCAATGGGACCACAGCCTTCTTCCGTGACTTAACAAGATCACTATGGTTTCATTCCAAACAAGGCCTTTGGTGTTGTTGTTGTCCTATCTCTTGCTTCTGTATTTGATGTCAGTTATTACTCCCTGAGGTCTCTTCGACTCTCCCCCAATCTTGAAACAAAATTGCCCTCCCCTTTAATCTGTTTAGTTTGTTCATGAGTATGCTCCATCCAAGTCTTCTTGCAGTCCCCTGGAAGATGATGCTCCTCATGGCTCTGCCATTAATCCTTGTCATCTTCCAATAATCCCCTCTTGCATTCTTAAGAACCTTGATGATAACCACGTACTGTGAACCATTAAATTTCTTCTTAAAACCATCAACTTTCTCACTTTTGCAAACGAGTTCCATCATTTAACATATCCACCTCACTACGTCCAAATAAACTAAGATAAAAAAGCATGAGTTCCAATGAAATTATTCTAATATCACTGAACCTCCATTGTTGCTTAAAGAGATTGTATATAATTTCAAACCAATTCCAAATTCATGAAAGAACCAATTCAAATCTATTCTCACCATAATACTAAAGGAAAAGACAATCCACGACCCTCAAGATTCTAGAGAGAAGGGAGAGCTTCTCTCTTTAAAGATGAATGACGTTAGAAAGACAAAATATGCACGCAAAAGGAACCATGCAGACTCACCATACTCTATGCTCGCAGGAAAGCGTGAAACATCAGATATATAAGCCACCCGGCATTTTTCACCAAAGAGAAAACCTAAACAGATATAGTCTTCCCCATGTATCACCTAGTCCAAGCAAGAAAGCATTAAGGACATAGAAAATACTAAAGTAATGTACATATGTAATAATAGAGGAAAATTTGTAGAGGCTCACTGGCAAAGGAACAAACTTCAGGCCTGATGCAACAAATGATTTCTCATGGTTGCCTTCAATAATCTTCCACTCAAGTTGTGCTACTCGTCTCACTTCTTGGCCTTCTTTTAATTTTTTCTGGACCAAGTAAGGAAACTTCACTGCAAGGCTATTTCAGGGCACAAAAAATAATAACAATAATAAGAGAGAGAAACTAACATCAAGAACTGATTCAAGATCAGTGAATTCATCACATCCACAATTTTATTAGGCAAGGTTTCCTTTTGGTGCTAAAGATGTTGTGCATTTTTTTTTTTTTTTTTTTTGCTCAAAAAGAAACGTGGGTTATGCTTCAGCATCCTGGACACCCAAGAATTGCAGCATAGATCTCATATAAGGCAATGTATACAAAAAAGGTCTAAAGAAAAGCTCAAGGACTAAATCGAATGGCCAAATGTCCAAGATAAAACCTCTTATAAAGATGACGATGATGATAATAATATCCATAAATTAGACGCTTGATCTTGGGCTTCAGGCTATTCTTTACTCAAATGGAATATCTTTCTCTCAAACACTATTAGAGGAGGTGAATTCTTAAAATGCATGTTGAAAAGAAAGTGCATGCTTACACAAAATCTCAAGCACATACCTTAAATTGCGATTATTTTTCATTCTTTTATATGGTCCGCTGAAACAATAAAAATATTGGAAAGTGCGTACCATAGTATTCGACTACATAATACATATTATGTACTTTCTTAATATTCTTAGAGTTAAAGCGTGGCATTGAGCACAATTTGCAATAAACAGTGTCATTGATGAACAACACCTATACTTTAGTTCCTTTTTTCTTTTTTTTTTACTAGAAAAACATTTTTTTTTTTGAAAGGTAGAATTTTATTTCACACACTAAATAAATTGTTGACTTATAACAACTTTAACAACTTATAACAACTTTCTTGCTTTTAGTTATTCCTCATAGACTCAAGTAAGATACCCATCCGGTACATCTTTGGGCTTACTTCCTCTGGTCAAAAAAATGTGGAGCAGTTGCAAGATTCATATTTATAAGGCACCAAACCCTTCACTTTAATAAACAAATTGTTAGGAGACACATCCAATTCCAAACACATATGCTATAGTTTTTACTCTGCCACCCAAATGAAGAATACCATAATGTTTGAAACGTCATTGTTTTGTTTTCAGCTTCAATAAACTATACAAGTGATTGCACCTCTAGACTAATTAAACGTTTGAGAAATCCACTTCATTACTTGAACCAACAAATTAACAACTACACTCTGGCTCCTCCAATACCAGGACATGTAAAGCACGCCCAAAGAATCACATGGTCAAATATTGCAATAATCAAAATCATATAATGGCAGCGGACAAGTCAAATCTAAGACAATTGTACACTCTATCAAAGATTACCTCTCCATTGCAAACTCAGTTAAATAAATCGGAGTGGGATCTATATCATTACTGGGGCTAAATGGTTGAACAGCACGTATATCATCCAGACCAAGGACTGCATCCGCATGTTCATGCGTCAAAACAATCTGCAGTGCATAGAAAATCAATTTAGATATGACATCAACAGCTGCAACAAAAATAAAACTTAAATGAAGAACCCCATTATCAATCAAATTACATTTCTCGAACATGAAGCTACTCAAATAGAAGTATAGAACACACGAATTAAATAAGTGAGCACCAAATATTGGTAGATGTAAGAGCAAAGGGTTTCACAAAAGATGACTCACGGAATCCACTCTAGGAATCTTATAGAGAGTGAACCATCTAAGAACTTGTTCTCTGAATGTCTTCCCAACATCAATCAATATATAGCTGCGATTTGCATCGCTTTGGCAATAATCAATCAAAAGAGACGTATTGCACCTGAAAACACCGATCATAAAGAATAAAACCAAAAAAAAAAAAAAAATCAAATCAACATTCAAATCTCAAATTCCTTTCCTTTCCCTGCTTCTTAACCTCTCTCGGTACACAAACATGACAGCAGATCTAATCTCTCCGATCTTTCCGTCCAAAAGGTCGATTGCATCATTCTAAGGGAAAGAGGATCGGCGATTACCTGTAATTAGGGTTTTTCTCAGGTGGGACGAAGAGTGACTGAGAGCAAACGGCGCAGGGGGGATCGGAGGGCTGGATCAGGCACATTGCGTTGGGGACGGCGCTGGAGCAACCGGTGCCGAGAAAGATCAGCGTCGATCGGCCGTTGTCGTCGCCGGCGGCGGGGATTATCGGTGCCAGAGAGGAAAAGTTACCATTCTGCGTGAGATTCAGGTTCGCCATTGATTTTTCTGGTACTCTCTGCAAGGAGAGAGAGAGAGAGAGAGAGTTCAGGAGCTGTGGCGTTGAGACAAGAAAGAGTG